TCAACTAAAATTCTTATTTAAATAAAATATTTTTAATAATTTTTGATAAAGTTCTTTTGAGAATTTTCAAATTCATTTTTTTACAATACAATTTTATGAAATTTTGATTATTCGAAAATTTTTAAATGAAATATACATTAGATAATAAAAACTTGAAATAATTTTTAAATATTTCGATTTAGCTGTTTAAAAAAATAATTTCGTAAAATTTTTAATTTAAATTATGAAAAATTCAGATTTTCAAGGATTTTAATTTTAAACCTTTACAAAAATCAATTATTTCTAAAAATTGTAATTATTAGTATAACTTCTCCAAAATTCAATTATTATTAAAAAAAACTTTAACTAAATAATTGAATGTTTCTTAAAATTGAATATTCTTCTACCTACATAATTTTATCAACAAATTTTTAAATAATAATTGAATTCTTTCAGCGAATTTTAATTAAATTTTTTAGAATAATTACATTTTTTGAGGAATTTAATTAAAATTGTATTAAAATTTAAAAGTAATTGAAATTCTGCAATAATTTTTATTATTTATGAAAATAATTAAAACCCTGAAAGGAATTTTAAAATTTATGAGAATAATTGAATTACTGCGAAAAATTTAATGACAAATTTTAAAACATTTGATTTCTTTGAAAAAATTTATGCAAATTCAATTTTAAATAATTAAATTTATGTGAATATTTTATTTTTTGGAAGATAATTGAATGTTCGCGTAGAATTTTCTTAAAAATTGTTGATTAATAATTGAATTCGTTTGGCAAATTTTATTACAATAGTAATAATTTATTGAATTTTGCAATAAATTTCATTAAAATTCTTCAAAATAATTTGAATTTCTGCGACGAATTTTATTACTTCTAAAAATAATTGAATTCTTGTGATGAATATTATTATTTATGAAAATAATTGAATTTTGCAATGAATTTTATTAAAATTTTTGAAAATAATTGAATTTTGCTATTCATTTATAAAAACAATTAAAATGTTGACAATATTTTTGTTAGATTTTTTGAAAATAATTAAATTTCTGCGACGAATTTTATTACTTTTGAAAATAATTGAATTCACACTAAAAAAAAAGTTTTACTTTCAGCCTGTTTTCGAGGCTGAATTTAAGGTGTAAACGGAGTCAGCCCCATTAAACAAGGACAGACTTATGTGAAATACATGGGCTGAATTTAAGGTGTAAACGGAGTCAGACTTTTTTTTCCTGTGTTCTTGTGATGAATACTATTATTTATAAAAATAATTGAATTTTGCAATGAATTTTATTAAAATTTTCAAAAATAATTGAATTTCAGCGAAGAATTTTATTATTTATGAAAATAATTGAAATGTTGACAATTGTATTAAAATTTTTTAAAAATAATAATTGAGTTTCTCCAACAAATTTTATTAATTTTGAAAATAATTGAATTCTTGTGATGAATACTATTATTTATGAAAATAATTGAATTTTTCAATGAATTTTATTAAAATTGTTAGGTAATTATGAAAATACATATATGTAAAATCTTCTGAAATGCAATTATATAATTTTCAAAATTGCAACTGTTTTCAACTAAAATATTCTCTAAGTTAATAATTCTTATAATGATCATAATTATTCTAAAATAGATGATGAGTATAATTCTAAATTTCAGAATACTTATAGTTCAAATAAATATTTAATGGATAACAGACAAGTTAACCATTTAATTGAATCAAATAATTTTCATTTGATTGAACTAAATTTGTTATTCAGTATGGACCAAAATGAATGCCTATTGAATTAAAAAAATCTGGAATGAATTGAAGAGAAGAATAAATAGACCACAGAATAATTGAATTTATAACCAAAATATCAAATTGAAAATAAATATTTTCTCCCAAGGGAAAAATGGACATTCCTCATATTTATAAACCTTTATTTTGACATGCTACTCCACCCAGAAATGATCTCACGCAAGCAAAAAAAAAGAAAAAAGAAAAAAGAAAAAGTATACAATATAAACCAACCCGTTTACACGCACTGCACGAAAACTCGCTATTAAGTGCATTAGCGTCTGTTAAACGTCATTGGGGGGATTCGATGATCCAGAGATGGTGTATCTAGTTTCGTTTTCGACCCCAGCTCACGTAAATAGTCACGTGCGAGCACGAGTCATACAAACTAGTCTTATCTAGCACACTAGAGTCTCTTATTCTTTATACAATTATATACATATACACATCCATAAATAATGCAGGGTTCGGGTATTGAAAATTGCCACACTTTCAATTTAAGTGCACGCGGCCACACAATTAACAATTTTGCACAAGGTGAAAAAAAAAGAAATGGTCTTGTGTTACATGTAACGAAGTTCAAGTGCCTCCTACTCCTGCTTCTCAAATATAATATGAGAATCGTAAAAATAGAACAACCCAATTTACAATTTAAATGCCTGCCGCTTTATCAAAGCTCTCTTCAAAAATATGATGTTCTTTTTCCCATCGGTGATTTGTTACTCATGTAGAAATAATTGCTTGTATGCGACACATTTTTTCGATTGTCAGACTTCGCATTCAATAATTAATTTTTTGAAAAGTATCTTTCAAGGTAAAAAAAGTAGTAGAAAAGTAGCTGTTGAAAAATTAAACTTGACCAAAAAACTCGTTTTAGACACTTCAGTAACTGACAAAAATTCCATTCTATATTTTAATTCCCTGCCTTTTTCCCTAATTTTTATCTAAAATATTTACTTCCCTCTTATCCTGCTAATAAATTGAATTCCTGAAACGAATTTTATTATTTATGAAAGAATTTAAATATTTATAAAAATAATTTAATTCTTGCGAAGAATTTTATAAAATTTTTTAATTAATTGATTTCTTTTGACTAATTTTATGCAAAATTTTAATTTAAATAATTAAATTCCGGAGAAATTTTTATTATTCATGAAAAGAATTGAATTCTTACGAAATTTTTTTAAATAATTCAATTCTGTTTGGAAATTTTATGAAAACAGTATTATTAAAAATCATTAAAATACGAAAAGTTTTTAAAAATAATTAAATTTTATAAAGAAATCTATTAAAATTTTTGACAATTATTGAATGTCTGTTTGGTATTTTTTTGAAAATAATTGAATTCCTATAAAAAGGATTTTATTATTTATGAAAATAATTGAATTCTTGTGGACGATTTTATTAAAATTTTTTAAAATAATTGAATTTACAAGAAGAAATTTATTACTTTTAAAAATAATTCAATTTTTGTAATGAATATTGTTATTTATGAAAAAATTGGATTTTGCAAAGAATTTTATGAAAATGCCTCAAAATAATTGAATTTTCGGGAATAATTTTGTTATTTATCGACAGAATTGCATTGTTTCGAAAAATTATTTATGTAAATAATTGAATTCTTGGGAAAAAAATTAATAAAATATTTGAAAATAATGGAATTAATCCAAAGGATTTTAAAAAAATATTTTTTTAAATAATTCATTTTTCGAGGAATTAATATTAAATTTTTAAGAATAATTAAATTTTTTGATTAATTTCTGTAAAATTGTATTAAAAATAATTGAAATCCTGCGATAAATTTTATTATTTATGAAAATAATTAAATTATTGCGAAAAATTTTATGAAAATTTTTAAAAAGAATTGAATTTCTGTGAAAAATTTTGTTATTTTTGAAAATAGTTCAATTCTTCATTTAAGAATTTTGTAAACATTGTTTTGAATAATTAATTTTTTCTAAATATAATAAATATTATGAAATTTTTATTTTAAATAATTGAATTCTTGTGGAAAACTTTATTTTTAAAAATTTTTCAATTAATTAATTTAAAATTGTATTCAAAATAATTGAAATCCTACAATGAATTTTATTATTTGTCAAAATAATTGAAAAGTTGATAAGAATTTTATTAAAATTTTCAAAAATTCAAATTTTATTATTTTTGAAAATAATTCAATTCTTCATAAGAATTTTGTAAACATTGTTTTGAATAATTAATTTTTTCTAAATATAATAAATATTATGACCACTTTATTTGTAAAAATAATTGAATTTTCCAATTAATTAAATTAAAATTGTATTAAAAATAATGGAAATCCTGCGATGAATTTTATTATTTATGAAAATAATTAAAAAGTTGATAAGAATTTTATTAAAATTTTCAAAAATAATTGAATTCCTGAAAAGAATTTTATTATTTATGAAAATAATTGAATTATTGCGAAAAATTTTATGAAAACGTTTAAAAAGAATTGAATTTTTGTGAAAAATTTTGTTATTTTTGAAAATCATTGAATTCTTCAGAAGAATTTTGCAAACATTGTTTTAAATAATTAATTTTTTCTAAATATAATAAATATTATGAAAATTTTATTTTAAATAATTGAACTCTTGTGAAAAACTTTATGTGTAAAAATAATTGAATTTTTCAATTAATTAATTTAAAATAGTATTAAAAAGAATTGAATTCTTGATTAGAAATTTGTCAAAAAAATTTTCTAAAAATTTAATTTTCATGAAAAATGTTATTATTTGTAAAAGTAATTGAATTATTGTAAAGAATTGTTTAAAAATTTATTTAAACCTAATTGATTTTTTTGGAAATTTTTTGAAAATGCTATTCTAAATTAATTAAATTCCTGTGGAAATTTTATTATTTATGAAAATAATTGAATTTTGGATAAATTTTATCAATTTTTTAAAAATATAATTGAATTCTTTTAAATAATTGAAATTTTATGAAAATACTAGATATTGAAAATAATTGTATTGTTTTAAGGAATTTGATTTTAATTTTTGAGAATAGTTTTTTTATTTCTAGTTTCAGCTAATTTTAAGTAGTCGAAATTTTAAAAAAAAGCAGAAAAGTTAATGAAAAATATTTTCATAAAAAAATATAAAAATATTTGATATTTTTGCAATGCAAAATTATTTGTTTTTAATCTTTATGTCTGCAGATGTTTTTACCGGTTAACAGCGCATAATAATCAAGGTTTTTTAAAATATTACATTTTTCAATGTTACACTTGCATTTAATAGGAAAACTAAAGTTTTCTAATTTTCAGTAAATCATAAAAATCTAAAAGAGTTGCTTCTTGCTTTTCAAAGAATTTTATTATTGCGATTAATATCATGATCGGATCAGCAATCATCTGTTTTTTTTCCTTAGTCAATGGCTTCGAAACTGTGACTAAGGAAATGGATTTAGTGAAATTACAGAACTCTCTCTTAGAATCGGAGAAATATGTAAAAAATCACGTTGGGTATGAAGATTCGGCAATTTTCATTAGTAACTCAGGAGCCGTAAGTAGTGCATTAATTAATTACATAATCGGCAACAAATTGAAGGTGGTAAAAGTTCCACCATTTAACAAAATGACAATTACAAAAGCAGATAATCAATCAGGACCGGAAATTAATAATGATGAATCATTCTTAAAAATTGCAAATCCGAAAAAATGGACTTCGAAAGAATTTCCCAATTTGACACTTTGGGATGTTCCTGATTTTTACAATGATATAGTAGAAATGAAAGATATCATTAGAGCCTTTTCTGTATGTCAATTGGTAAAAAATGTTAAGTCTCTAAAAATTATTTTAGTATTTGACATTAAAGACATTGTGGAAGATAATACATTTGAATTCCAGTCATTTTTAAAAGCTGTGGAAGAACTTTTTGCAAATAAATTCAAACAATATTTTTCAAGTATATCAGTAATTTTTACAAACGTACCTAACATGGTTAATGAAATTCCAGTTTCTTATGAATACATAAACTATTATTTAAACAACTTATTGCAAAATGAAATACAATGGTCGGAGATTTCAAAAGATTTTTTACAGTACCTAGTAAATAACAACGATCGTATTGCCCTCTTCAAGGAACCATCTCGTGAAGGTATTTTGATAAATAACGATATCGATGTTAATATTTTCCGGGTTATTAAAAACTCGGAAAGTATACAGAAAAGCTCTCTCCAAGATGTACATCCACCTATTTCGGCTCATTCAATACTTGGCCTGCACGAAGCTCAAAAAGAGTTGTTTCCAAAGTCAACATTTGATGATATAAAGAATATTTTGCAGAAAAAATTCCAGAAAATATCAACTAACGTAGAAAAAATAACTACTTCCGCAGAAAGAAATGAAACAATAGGATTCTTGGAATATTTAATGAGAATTCGAGGAATCCTTCACTCCTCGGATTATGAAGGCGATATATACAGCAAGACAAATATTGTTGCATCAATTGATAATGATATTAGAAACATATTTGAAAGGCATGGTTTGTTCGGAAAAATTGAACTAATAATGTTTATGGAAAAGTTATTGGATACAGAAATAAGTAAAACATTAGAAGACAATATTGATGATATTATAGTTTCTTCAGAAACAGAAGTAAATAGAACGATTACCTTTCTTATTAAAAAATTAAGTGAATCTCCCATAGAAAAGAAAAACACTAATTCCTGGGAAATGGTTACAAACTTTTTACTAGACCTATATACAAGTTTTACACATATTTATAAGCAATAATAATAAGCAATAATTTCGACACTATGAAAAATGACGCAATATATTCTTGAGGTATGATTTGAAATTTTAACTAATTTTGTTTTAAATTAAATACGATTATTTTTATATGATTTAGTCCTTTATATATTTTATGAAAATCATCCTTTTGCAGGCATTGAAGATGGGTTAAAATAACCAGAAAATATTAAATGAATTATTGTTGTCAGTACGAGTAGAAAATTATTTCAAGCAATGTAAAGACAAAGTATAATTTTATGTTTATGAATTCAAAAATAAAAGAGTCAATTTAAAAAGACCTCTAGTTAATTTCTTTTACCACGATGATTTATATTATTAATTAAGTAACAAATAAATTTTATTCTGACGATGTTAGCATTTTAACGAAGTTTGCAAAAACTCCGTATTCTTAAAAGTTCAATATATGTGGTTTTTGAGAATCGTTTGCGGAAGAATCTTTTGGAAATAAGTTAACTATAAAGTAACAAGTAAATTTTAGTTTTATGGTGATTTTCAGAGAGGACAGTAGTTTTTATTTTTTGCGAACGCTTAAAAAAAGAAAAGAAAAAATATATTAGCGTAGACACACTTTGGTACATCGTTATAGTTATTCGAACTATTATTATAGACAGTACCTTATTTTTATAACTATATAATGAACTAAAAGAAATTATTCTTACAAGAAAATTTAATATTTAGGGTAAGTAAAATATTTTAAATTGCAAAAAATATTTCTTCTATCATACCTGTACTTCTCTGATTGGATGTCTACATATAAAACATCGTGTCATTCTAAATGCACAATAATATGAAGAAACTATAAATGTTTATGAAGGTCAATTTTTCGAATAGAATATTAAATTTTTCTCTAAAAGCAGGGACGCATGATTATTCCCCAAATGACATTTTTGCCAAAAGCCATTTTTTGCAAATAGTAATTTTTTACGAATTGGCATTTTTGCGAAAAGCCATTTTTGCAAATTGTCATTTTTGCGAATCGCCATTTTTACGAATTGTCACTTTTGCGAAAAGTCATTTTTGCAAAAATTCCTATAGTGAAACTATATATGCATACAAGTTTACAATAGTAATTTTCGCAAAATTGACAATTGAGTGCGAAGCCTGAATTGTATTTACACTTTAAGAATCATCTCCAGAATTTTGACTGAAACACGTACCAAAATTCATTAATTTTCTTTGTAAGTCCCAAAATTGACTGAATTCATAGTTTTAATCTCTTATCACAAATAAAAAGATTGAAATCTCTCCTTCGAATTGTGAACATTATGAACGATTACATAGTAAAACATTAGCTCAGTCTTGTCGTGAACAAGAAGAGAAGAAACTTGTAACTTTTTTTTTCCTTTTTTTCTTGCTGAGAGGCAACTCTCAAGTACGGTCAATTAATAGGAGCTATTTATAAGGACAAACTGGGGAATCTGGAAATCCGCAATCCACCCAGAGGCAATAAATCTCAAGTCGCTGTTCGGAATGGAAGCGGAACCCCTCTTGTAAGCTGGTTGTATTGTAGCTATTACCAAGCCATGCATCACTACGTAACAACCACACGGTTTTATACTCTCCTCTCTCTCTGTCGCACACGTTGAATTCAAGAATCGCGGCATTGCGCGACTAAAGGAGCGCAAAGGACACAGTAGTGTAGTAGACGAAATAAACAGAGGCGAATAGAAGATATGAGAGGACAGGACATATATGTGGGAAGTACCACAGCTGATATCGTGACGCGTGTGTGTGTGTGTGTTCCTGGACCACCCAGGTGTTTCCACCTATAGCTCTCTCTTTCTCTCTCACCTCCATTATATGCCATTGAGTTTTAGACGCATTATAACCCAAAAACATCATTGTAATAGAATTTCTCTGGCTTCCCGTATTATATATATCAGCTCTCTTGAGAGGGGGCGCGGCCGCTCGTGCAATCGTTACTGAGATGACAAATGTTTTCCCTTCCGGAAAATAATTACTCGAATCAGACACTTATCGAGTAAATGAAAGAGTAATCGTCGTACAAGCACTTTTTCAGATTATTAATGGCCAACTAACACGAAGGACTCTCTCTCTCTCTTGCTCTCTCCTCCCTATACTCGTATTTTAGTGTGATGGTCAAAATATATATATAAATAGTTTCCTTGATAAGCTGTATATAAATAACAGTTAATCGACTGTCAATATAGAAGAAATAGGAAACGTTCATTTCAAAAATGGAGCAGAATGATAAATATAGGTAGAAAAGAATTTACTGCCAGTCGAAGTACATATAGATATTTTAGCAAATTTACCTGTAGATAAAATTGTTAGTACAGTTTTTATTAGCAAAAAGTTAAGCTATTTTTGGGAAAACACTATTTTCCTACAAGACGATGCTAAAATTAAAATTATGCATTTTAAAAAGTTTACTTGAGAAAATCTTATTTTAAGAGATAGTAAATTGGTATTGTTTTAAGACCTATAGTTTGTCTGAAATGCAACTTGGTACTTTCTACACTGGAGAAACAAATTTTTAAAGCACTTTCCGCTGTAAGTGCTTAAATATATGTCTTTTTTTTTAATTTAACCAACTTTGGATATAAAATAAAAATAAGTCAACTTTATGTCTTAAAATCAGGTTCCTAATCTGAAATTAAACCAATATTTGAACTAATGTATGTTGTTTTAGACGAAATTAGATTTAAAGATATATTTTTACACTGTAAAAAAAGTCTTACTTGCAGCTCACATTTGACTTAAAGAAATTTTATTTTTCCAATTTATTTTTAATAATCTTATTTTAAGAAAAGAGGGAAGCTTTAATTTAAGACGCAACATTTTTAAAACAGTTTCTTATTCGCTATAAAAAAAATCGTCTTATTTTAAAACCAACTATCAAAATATGCGTATTATTAAAAAAATAACTACGAAAATAACTAAATTTCACTAACAAACTTTGCACTCGACAATTAATTTTAAAAAAATAGCAAAAAGTATCTTTGAACGTAAAAAAAAGTAGTAAAAAAGTAGCTATCGAAAAATTAAACTTAACGACCAAAAAAACTCGTTTCAGATACCTGAAACAAATTTTATAATTCATGAAAAAATTTAAATATTTATAAATAATTTAATTCTTGCGAAGAATTTTATAAAATTTTTTAAATAATTCATTTCTTTCGACTAATTTTATGTAAATTATAATTTAAATAATTGAATTTCTGAGAAATTTTTAATATTTATGAAAATAATTGAATTCTAACGAAGATTTTTGAAAAAAAATTTTTTAAACAATTGAATTGTGTTTGGAAATTTTATGAATTATGTAAATAATTGAATTCTTGGAAAGAATTTTTTTTTAATTATTTCAAAAAATATTTAACTCAACTTGTATTTAAAATAATTGATTTCTTTCGAACAATTTTATTAAATTATTTAAAAATAATTGAATTCCTGTGAAAAATTCTAATATTTTTGCAAATATAATTGAATTCTTCTAAAGAATTTTAGAAAAACATTTTTTTTAAAATAATTAATTTCTTCGAGGAATTAAAAGTAAATTTTTAAGAATAATTACATTTCTCGAGCAATTCCTGTAAAATTGTATAAAAAATAATTGATCTCTTGCGATGCATTTTATTATTTATGAAAATAATTGTATAGTTGCTATAAGAATTTTATTAAAATTTTCAAAAATAATTGAATTTCAGCGAAGAATTTTATTATTTATGAAAATAATTGAATTATTGCGAAAAATTTTATTAAAATTAATTTAAAATAGTATTAAAAATAATTGAAATTCTTTTATGAGTTTTATTATTTATTAAAACAATTGAATTATTGCAAAGAATTTTATAAAATTTTTTTAAAATAATTGAATTTCCATGAAAAATGTGATTATTATTGAAATTAATTGAATAATTGTGAAAAAATTGTATAAAAATTTTGTTAAATAATTGATTTTTTCGAAATTCTTTTGAAAATGCTATTCTAAATTAATTCATTTTCTGTAAATTTTATTATTTATGAAAATAATTGAATTTTGGATGAATTTTATGATTTTTTTTAAATAATTGAATTGTTTTGCAAAATTTCATGAAAGTACTAGATATTGAAAATAATTAAATTTCGAAAATTTTTTGAAAATAATAATTGAATCGTTTTAAAGAATTTGATTATAATTTTTGAAAATAGTTTTTTGATTTCTATATTATTAGAAAATTTAAAGTAAATAGTAAGTTTTAATAGATGAGTGCGCGAAGCGTGCACGAAAAAAAAATTTTATCTGGAACAGCGATAAGTTTCTTTAAAATAGCGAAAGTTTTAACTGAAACAACTAAACATTTGGCTAATTTAGCAATATTTGTAGCTGTTCCAGGTGAATATTTTTTTCCGTGTGCACTAATTGAATAAGTCACAAAAAATTTCAGTTATTTTGACAAAACCTAAAAGTGAATTTCACTATTAATTAGTCATTATTAACTATATGATTAGTTAAAATATTACTAATTGAATTTGTAACTGACTCTTTACGAAAATATGCAGAAGCTTCAAAAAGTTTAGATTTTACAACGAAAATATAGTAAAAATTGCAATATTCGTTTTTTGTCTAGCAAAATCAGTAGCAACAATCAACCCGAGCTGCAGTAATTACCCCACTTATCCTAATTGAAACAGTGCTCCAACCAGAACCTTGTCAAAAATTATAGAAACCCAAATAATTTATGCTAAATTCTCCTACTTAAGTCCTATTTCAAGTACACATAATAAAAAAAATTCTCCAGCATCCAAAAATATTTCCCAAATTATAAAATACTTGACATTTTTTGTTATCCAATTAAGCCAAAAAAACGAATCAAAAAGTGTGTTTTCTGACTCAATTTGATATCCTTAGAAAAACTGTGATACAAGAAAGTACTTTTGGAGCTATTATTGCAAAGAACGACCATAACCACCAAGTAGTGAAGCATTCCTCTCAATCAAATTGTACAGAATTTGTCCGCACTTTATCAGAAAAATACCTTAATATAAGTTAAGGACTTTATACCAAAATACAAATTTTTTGTTATCTGCAATTTTTCCAGATAAAATTTTTCTCCACTCGACTATATACACACTATTCGTATATATATACATATATATACACATATACACATGAGTGTAAAAAACAGTTCAAGGTTTTCGTTAAATAGCGTCTGCTCTCTTTCATCATACGGGTCGAAATGATTTTTTTTTCCCTCTCGTTGCAAATGCGGCCGTGTGTATACGTATATATATATATATATAGTGGTGCGTCCTCACCAACTCATCCAGCAG